GGGGAGGGAGGTGTGTGGGGGGAAGCAATGATTAATGAATGCCAGTTTGATTGCAAAAGAGTTTTTTTTTTTTTAAGACAGTAAAAAAATCTCCGTGGGTCTCAGAAGATGCTAATTTGGAAATAATTATATTTAAAGTCTCTATAGTAGATCCTATAAAGAGCTGTCTCTCTTTAGCAAAGAAAATGGCATGACGACACGTAAATCCTTATTCACAAAGGTTTCAAAGCAGCAAGGACAAAGGCAGGTGGAGCTCAGGATTTTGTTCAGTGGTTGTGAAAAGGGGAGGAGAACTGCAGTCATGGTGGAGTCATCTCCTATGAAAGCACAGCTTGGATTTACTCTGAACCCATTTGTTAAGAATTAAAACTCCAGTGAATTTGTTTTATGTTTTTTAAAGATGGATTAAATAAAAATGGAATTGTAAAAGTAAGATAAAAAGAAACCTTGACAAATTGCTAAAATAGTGCAGTTAAAATCTGTCATGCATGTTTGTGCTTACACAAAGAAAGGAAGGTTTCAACAAGCACTGCAGAGAGAGGGAGGAGAAGGAGGAGGAGGAGGATTGATCAGCTGACAGCAGAAGTGGGACCGTAGTGCTACACATTTCTTCTACACGTAAGTCCAGGAATGTAAAGCAAGAGCTGTGTAAAATGCTGAAGGTTTTAGAACTGTAATAGCAGGTAGAAAAGTACACTGGTCTTGTGTCAGTAGCAGCCCCAGTGTTAGGAGACAGTCTAGGCTTCTAGGAGGAGAAAATAGAAAAGGGGGGAAAGAAACAGGAGAAGGGAAAGGGAGGGGGAAGGGCAAAAAAGCGTAAATCATTAGTAAACATGAACATTAATGCAGCAAACTGCACATCAAGCAATTGTTCATTTAGTGCAGACAGCAGACCTTCCAGAGACCAAACCAGGAACAGTAAACGTCATTTTTACAAATGTCTGAAAAAGTCTCTCTTCATGCAAGAGCAGACAACTGTGTTACATGCAGAAATTAGCGATGGTCAATCTAGATTAGTGGCAAAGTGCTGTTGAGAGAATGGCAAAGTTCAGAATGTCTCTAAACGGAGGATGTGTGTTGAAATTGTAGCTAGCAAAATCTCTCTTTGGGACTTGGTTGTAAGGAGAGGAAAGGCACTAGACATGCAAGATTCAATACTGCCAGCTACTGAACATCAGTACGCAAGGTTCTGAGTGTCCGAAGTGCTCAGCACTTGTAGGACTGGGCTCTTAATTAGAAAGCAAACGTGTTAAAATTAACAGCCCAAATCTTTCCCTTGCATTCTGACACCCCGCACTCAGTATTTCCTCAAGGAGTCCCTCTAGTTCTACTAGCGCCTGGTTATTCCAAACAGGGAACACAAGGGCAAAAAAACCCCAACACCGTGGAGTTTGGTGTCACACCATAATCTTGTGCAAGCAGCTCCTGGTATATCCCTTTTGTGCTGGAGTATCCAGACAGTTGGGGCTTGTCTATACAAAGGTTAAGACAATTGAATTAAAGGCATGAAGTGAATTTGCATAAATTAAAGTGTGTTAACCCCCATGTGCACACTTTCAGTCAAGAGTACACTGGTCCTAGTTCTACGGATGTGAGAGTGTATTTGTTTAAACAGTAAACCAATGAGCCTGAGCCTTCACCGTTACACTGCCACTGTATCAGAGGCAGCAGTGGGAGGGAAGGGGGAAGCTGGCAGGAGCTGGTGTTTGCTCCAGAGGCAGCTCTCCCCCTCCTACCGCATGTAAACATGTAACCACTGACATTTTCAGCTGTTACATGTTTACAAAGAAATGTTTTAACATCTCTGCCTAGTTCACTGTCCTCCAAGGAGGTGTGTCTGCACTGCAATCGGAAGATGTGAATGTAGCTTATGTAAACAGTTTTGATGAAGTTAGCTCACTACAAATAGCTGAGAAGCCAAAGCCAAAACCAAGGCCGTATGAGCTAGATGCCCAAGCAAACAGCTCATGCCATAGCAGCTTCATTGCTATTTTTAAGCAAGCCAGCACAGAGATACCTACCTACGCTACAATCCACTTCCTGATTGCAGTAAAGACGTACCTTGAGGCCAAGTTACCAGAGAGCAAGAGCACCCACAGAGAGGAGTTAAGCATTCTGAGTTGTGCACATTCACTTCACAACTTTACTTGATTCACCCGATTTTTCTAGTGTCCCTCTCTGTACAGTCATGCCCTTAATATAGTACAATTAATGCCAATTTGTGAAAATGAAAAAAATGCCTCTTTCAGATCTGACTCATCCTAATCACTGCACATTACATAGAGCGTACTCTGCTGCTATCTGGAATGAAAATGTTATCAAGTCAATGTCCCATTGAAACAGAGTGCAAATACATTCCACTGCAGAAGATTAAAAAAGCTTAACAGTCTAGACCAGGGAGAGAAAAAATGAGATGCATTTACATACCCAAGTGACTTGGAGAATGAATTAAATGACACTCTCCCCAGTCTCCAACCATCTTCTGTGATAATTTCAGGATCCAGTTAAAGTGCGGTTCTATTTTGGAAAGTTCTCCATGATCACATTCTACTTGGCCTTGCACACTGTTTCTCCACTTGTGTATCACCCGTTTGTCTCCACAATTCTGAAGCTATGGAACTTTTTTTAAAGCTCCTGCTCTCTGAAACAGTCTTTCCAGATTTTCCCAGTTCATCAATTGTTTATCTCACTTCAAATCTCAACTGAAAAATTCTCTCCCTTACCTTGTGCCTCTTAATATCATTCTCTTTCAATTATTTAACTAACTGCAGGAAATCAATGCTGAGACATTTTGAGAAGACTTCTATGTATATGACATTGGAATGTAAACTAGGCTTATTGGGTAGTTGAGTCACTACTCAACTAGCTGCTTCTCCCCCTCCTTGTTGCCTCCATCAGAGGCAGCAGGGAGGGGAGGCAGGAGCCAGTGCTGGGGAGAGCCAGCTTAAAAGCCAGTTGCCCCTAGCACTGTCTCTGCAGGGTGGGGAGGCAGAGGCGCAGCGGGGAACCAGGTGTGAATCGGGACTCAGGTGTCCCAGCTCATGTCCGGTCCCAGATGCTGCAGCTCTGCCTTTTAAATATAGTAAGAGCTGGGCAGCTCTAACTACATTTAAACGGCAGAGTCACAGTGGGGTTAGCTCCCGGGAGGCGAACCCCACAGTGGCTCTGCAGTTTCCCCCCTTATCGACTAATCAAGTAGTCGATGGAAATTCCATTGACTACTTGATTAAATACAATTTAACATCCTTAGGATCACACACATTTCCTACTAGTCTGCAAACCCTTAGCTGATAAGTGAGTACTTAAGCTTCCAAGTTGCCGTTCCTATCACTTGGATGTTGCTTTTATACAAGCAAGAAAAAAAAATCAACTCTAAACCTCACAAACATAAACCTCCAGACAGAACTTATTGATAATGAAAAGGGTTCAGCCACCTAAACATTTCTGTGCTTGTGTGGTTAGCACTTAGCATCTGAGAGGTGGAAATTAATTTGTTATGGTTTACTGGAGACTAGCCCTTAAGGAAGGCTGTTAGGGTCCAGAATAATTCTTTCCAAAGAGGACCCCACTGCACCAATGCAGTCAGCTAACTCATACTTACAATTTCATTATGGGATAAGTCTGGATTCCACCTCTTCCAGAATATATATAATACCGAAAAGAGCAACTGAAGTAGTTTGAGAGGGGCTCAGGGTTCATCTTAATTTTATATTTTCCTGTCAAAATCTACAGCTTTGTTTTGACAAGCATTTATAAAAACAGGTTAAACAGAGACATATTGTAAATCCTCATCCTCCCAATAAATGCATCCAAATCCACCACATAGGCATTAAAAATTAAGTTATTCTCTAAAAACACAGGTAGTGACCACAAGAGAGTTTTCTGCCCCTTCCTGACCTGAGGAGGCCTGTTTTGCTTGTGCCCGGTCCTGAAGAGTAATGTAAGTGCTACCACAGTAGGATCCAGCTTGGGTCTCTAGTGCAGCCTCTCCCGCCATAGGCTGAGATCACTGCTGAAATAGCACTTTTAGCCTCTATTTGGAACTAGTGACTCAGGAGACTAGCAAGTATCTCTGGTCAATGCCAAGAAAGACAACCAGCTCCAAACAATCCTATATTTGGTGGAGCAAAGATTGCTACAATGCAAGAGCTTTGGTTGAGCAACCATTTTCCCCCTTCACTACAAAGAAGAAGTTACCTATTGCCAGAATTCTTGTTACAGCAAGATATTTTCCCCAAATGGACTCTCTTAATAATTGTGGCCAGAGTGAAACCCCAGCTACATCAACAAGCTAAATCCAATAATTAAAAATAGAACAAAAATGTGTGTCCCAGGCAAACAAAGTGTAATCAGATTCCACAATATTTGTGTAGAGATTTGCTCATTTAATAATATGTTTCTTGAAATACAAAGCTATTATATAATGTTGTTAGAAGGAGATGGATTCTGGAGGATCTCAAAACTTCAGCTTTGATGCTGCCAAAGTAAGAGTCCAAGTGAGTTTGGGGTGGGACGGGGAGAAGGAAATCTTACAAGAAAAGATGAACAACCAGATCATATTGAACACTTCCTGGCAGTGGGTGATCACAGTGCACTTCGAAACTGGGGAGAACATGGGAAGTTCACACTCACAATAGGGTAGGCTTAGTCCAGGAAATAGTAGGACTTCATTGGAAAATCATTTTAATATATCAATATCTCAAATGCATCTTCCTTTGGTTAACTATGGCTAAAGTATGTGAAGTCTTCCAAAAGGGGGCATTCCTACATATGAATAATTCTGGTATTGAAGATTGTTTTAGTTTAGCTTAAATGTTTAAACAAAAACAAGGTTCACTGGGAAGTAACCAGCTCTTTAGAAAGGACCAAATAAAAACTGAAAATCTAATAGAAAAGAGCACTTTGCCAGAACAATGTTCATCTAGTAGGTACTGACTGCACCAGAGAAAATAGTTAAGACTTCTAAAGCTTTGTATTTAACTCAAATATTACTCACTTACCTGTACTGTCATCTTCTATTCCATGGTCACCATTCTCCACCACTGCTGGTCCAACAGCCGAAGAACCTGCAATAACCACAGAGGTGTCACTCCTGATCTATGAAAAGTTTCTCTCAAAACTTCTCTCCAAGTGTTTTTTTCTTGTTACTGTTCAATCCATCTCCTAGATTGTGTCTCTGAGTGTTACTCCTACCTCCCTTGCATCAGGATAGGGCAACAAGGCACACACCTCACTGAGGCCAGGTCTACGTTACGGGCGGAAAGCTAGCTTAAGGGATGCAATTCCTGTCATGTAAATAACATAGCTGGAGTCAACATACTTAAGCCGAACTTTGGCGCCATTCCCACAGTGGGAATGTCGATGGGAGAAATGATTCCATCTACTTCCCTTACTCCTTGCAAGAGTGAGGAGTACTGTAGGTGACGGGGCGCCCTCCATGTTCAATTTAGCAGGTCTTTAATAGGCCCAACTAAATCAAATGCAGGAAGATCAATCTTCCCATAGGTATAGACGTGACTTGAGTCAGAAGAGCCAATTAACCAATCACCAGTAGCATCAATACTTCTTGAGAGTGGAGCATTCCAGGCACACAATCTGTTTCATAGCCCCATGAAAGTGACCCATGGAATTATAAGTAGGGTCTTCTGCAACAACTCACACCACAACTGCAGTGATCCAATCATCTTGGGGATGAATCTGACTAAACTGGCTTCCGAAAGGCAAATCTACAGTGGATTTCCCTTAAATGATATTCCAATAAATTGTGCCTTTGAAATTGTATCCATCTAACAAAGACAAGCCGGCCTTGCTGTACTGCTCATTGCTATGTGGCATATGGATACTCTCATTACATCAAAGGGTATAGTGTATAAATCAGCCAAAAACTCTGAGCCTAATCTGTTCCAGAAAGAGAAGCTTGCATCTGAATTTCTGAAGTAAGTTCAGGAGTGACAGACCATTATACAAGAGATCTAGATATAAATTTAACATATAGCCAAGATGAGTGCTCTTTGAAGGGCTACACTGATTTTTCTTTCTGGGAATACTAGAACCCTGAGGAGACTGACATAAGAGTCCCAGCACTTGAAACTGCTGACCTAACCCTTTTGGATAAACCCCCATTATCTTGGCATTATAATCTGCGGTGCTTCCAAAATGATTTTGGGACAGAATCTAACTGGTTCCATTCCTTAACTGTGCCCAACTTTGCTTCTCTAAAAGAAAGTTTAGGTTGGGTCCAGAATTGTTACCTTGCATGAGAAAGACAAGACTAGGGAGAAACTCTCTTGTCTCCCCTGCTGACAGGAAACTAACATCTTACAGTTATGAACCAAATCCTAGAAGAATGATTGAAACTGATGTTCTTGTTTTAGTCATAGCTGAAATCAGTAAGTAAGTATGGGTCAGAATATTTACTCAAGAAAATGTCAATTGAGACACATTACAGAGCATATGCAAGTTTACTGTTTGTCTTCTATACAAGCACCTAGCTGGCTCTTAGCTGGACAACTCCAACAGCTGCACCAGGAAGAGAGTGGCCAGCTGGAGACAGGGCTTGCCATTTTGCTGGCCACCTGCCCAGGTAAGTGCCCCCCCCCGCCCCAAACCCTTTCCCTCCCAGGCCGTGGCACTGGACCAGGGTGGGGGGAGGGTTATCCCTTCTGGCTTCACTGCCATACTCCCCTCCCCAGAGCACCACCGGGCTGAGCAGCGTAACCCCTCCCCTCCCCCCCGGAGTCACAGGCACCTTCCCCAGTACCCCTGGGCCATTCAGCGTGGGTACACCGTCAGGCCTGCACGCTCTCCTCCCTGGTCCAGCCCAAGAAGTGCTGCAGGGGCTAGGCTACACAGAAACCTCTCCCCCTTCCCTGAGGCCCAGAGAGCACTGGTGGGGCTGAGGCTGGTCTACACATTGCCCCACCCATCCCCCAGCCTGGGGAGAGTTGGCAGTAGGCCTCCACAGCCCAGCCTGGTCCCCGCCTCCCCTTCTCCACCCGAGGGGTAACCCAGGCAATGCCAAGTCAGTCTTCTCATTTAATATAAAACCCTGTCGTTCTCCAAAATACAGTGATCTTTAACAGCTGGACTCTATTGGAATCAATGTTCTGAGCCAGGCCGCCAGCATTATTGGACATCTTCAGACCACTACATCAAGCAGACATTATAAGGACATTTAGTAAAATGACGATATCCTTCTGGCAAGAAGCCCTGTGCACTAAAGGAAATATTGAAATACCTTATCTTTTAGTCCAAAAGCTGCTGCTTAAACTTCTAGGAACTGATCCCAGTTTTCAGTTGTGAAAATCATAGTAAAAACAATTAACTGCAGGAATCATACAGAGCAGCAAGAATTGTTTTTTTCTAGTTAATGGTAAAGAACATGTCACTTGTTAACACAGATCCTCAGCCCCTGTGTTTTTTAATGTGTGATATGTACCAGAGCACCAATTATTATTTGCAACCAGGAGGACTAAGATTTTTATTTTAAATAAAAACCAGGACTTCCCAGGGAGGAAAAGGTTAAAAGCTGACCCCATTCGTTAATGAATGCTTTGTAAATTAAGGGTTAAAAAAGAGTCAGTCTATAATCCTGCAAAGAGTAAGGACTAGAACAGCTGCATTGTATCTCAATGTGAATCAGCTGTGCTTGCTGAATTAGTGCAGCTAACGGAGCTATTTTTGAAGTGATGTCCATATTAAATGGCAATCGGCTGCCTAGCATGCAGCACTCAGCAGGATCAATACAGGGCATATTTCTACATTCCTTCATAACAGGCCGGGCCTCTCCTTTCACCCATTCCAACTCTAAGCAAAATCTTCCTCTTCAATTCTTCTTCTTGTGTCAGCAACTCAGAAAATAGTCAGCCAGTTCAGCGAGTGGGACTAGAAAGCTATGGTCATTTCACTCCTCTACTGTTCTAACATCAATGACCCTCCCTCAGATTACCTGCTGAAGCTGCGTCAGATATTTCTACACTGCAAGTGCTCTAAAAATAGAAAAATGACATTGTAAAACCACAAATGTCAGCAGAGAGACTCGGGAGCTGCAGTACTACAGGGAAAAGCTTTTAACTAACATTTTAAGTGACTAGATTTCATGTTAGTCATATCCTTTTAAAAAACAGCTTTATACAAGGATTTGGTATCTGGGTTCTTAAGATTGGGAAGAAACCTCTGTACATGTGGAGCCCAGATGCAAGTGCAGAGATGCAACTATGAATCAAACAGCTATTGCTGGCCAGAGCTGGGAGTGTATCATCAAAACATTACTACATAAAAGCTTTTATAGTGTAGGAAAGCACTATTTGCTGTGCAGATAGTCTCTAAATATGAACAGATTCATTGAGCATCTCAAAAATCAGGCATATCCTTGCTTTGCTGCACCCTATTGAAAATTAAAAGTAGCAAAACTGACTTTTACAGGATTTTCTAGGTGAGTTATATGAAATACAAAGCCTCAGAGGTGTAGCCGTATCAGTCTAACTGAAAAAAAAAACCCAATAAATGGTCCTGCAGCACCTTAGAGATGAACAAAACAGGCAGAGAGTACCATGAGCTTTCGCAGGTACAACCTACTTCTTCAAATGAATGGAGCAAGGGGTCCAGAGGTTCATTACATTGGTTTAAAAGGTCATGAGATTTAAGAAAATTATAAATTTGAAGTTTTGTATTTGCCTTTTGGTGTCAGGATACATTTTAGTTGTGTTTTCGAGTTCTCATTAGGTGCAGCATGCTAGAATCAGTACATGCAAATATGCATGTGAATTTTTGCCCTTGGTAATGACAATAAAAGTGTCAAACATTTAGATTATACATGATAATATACTTTGTACCTATGAATTGTCCCTGCAAAATGGGTGGAGTCAAGTTTTAGAATACTCCCATGTAGACACCATTGAATTGGTATAATTTATCAAAAACTAAACCAGAAAGAAGTGTGTTTTTCTAAATGCATTTTCTGCAATGTTTAAAAGGGTCCTAAAATCTCAAAAGATTAGTGTCCCCTAGAATTGGCTTTAAGCCTACACTGTCAACACCATGAAGACTCTTCAGATATTTACTGCTACTACCTTGCCTCCTCAAGTTCATTCACAATGTTGCTGCTAGAGGCAGTCTCTGTCTCTATACAATATTTAGTTGTGCCTTGAATGCAGGGATTGAACTCGACGACTTCACAAGGGTCCCTTCCAGTCCTGATTCTTGCATAGCTACTCTGACCACATCAATCCCTTGAGTCTCTACTAGCTCTCCCTTCTGTTTCACAAAACACAAGCTTACGTTCACTTTTGCTGACCTTTGCAATCTAGCTCCAACTTACCTTGCTGTTCGAGACCATGTGCAAACAAATCACCTCTTGTAAAACCAAAAATTACCTCTAATTCTAAATCCAGGAGAAACTAGAGCAACTAAAAGTTATTCCTATTTCCCACCTAAAACTTATTGCACGTGATCATCAATAGTTATCACAGACCATCTAAAAACTAACCGTACGGAAAGGAAGAACAGGAGATGGGGGAAAGCGGCACCAGGCTTCTATCAAAATAATTTGTTTGAAGCCGCACATTGATGCATTCCATTCAGATATAATGAGCTTTACATCAGTTTCCTACAGTTAATTACCAGGCCTAAACACTGGCAACTATTAAAAAAACGTTGTCAGTCCCATGATATTAGAGACACAAGGTGGGTAATATCAGAAGTTGGTCTAGTAAAAGATTACTTCCTCCACCTTGTTTTTCTGAGGAAATAGTCACAAGATTAAATACAAAAGACTATTTTTGGTTTCTCACATTATGCTCTACAGTGATGTTTAAAACAGCTGTGTGATGCTAGCCAACACAACGATTGTGCTATACTTCCTCATTTTGCTTTGTGCGCTGTAGCAACATTTAGATTAACTTCTCCGAGTTGGAAAGAAGCCCTCCACCGCCCTCATTTTCCAACATGCTAGATAAACTGGAGTATCGTGGCTAGATTCCTAAAACAATATGTAAGGCACTTTTTCTTCTCTCCCCTAAGAATAGACACATTTATTAATTATGGATCTTACATAGGTCTTGTGGAA